TTGAAGCCTTCAGCAATTTCTCTACTTAACCTAATTGCATGGCTAATTTTTTCCCAATCACCTCTCTCCCTCCTAAAGAGCGAAAATTTGTCAGCCTTCGTCATCTAGACCACAGAAAAGTCGTGACTATGGACTATGGTCCAAAAACGTCAAAAACATGGATTAGCCTACAGAAAGGAATCGATGGGTAAAATTAGTTTTTAAAAAGATGAGAGAGCCAAGAGCCATTTCGTTGTTATCTGTCACAGGTGAGGAGTTCGAGCGGTAGAGGTCAAGGCCAAGTTTGATGTTCAGAACTTTTATTGTTACTTCATCTGACGGTTGTATTTATGCCAAAGTGCAAGAATCAATGACCCTCAGCACTGGGTCAAAAACTAATGTAAACTCTAGCCGAGACGTGAACCCACTTATAAATTATTATTTTCGTCTGTGTATATTATTAACAGATGGATTTTGATCCTTTGCTAATCCCACTATTCATTAGTTAATCCTTGTCCAACAGCGCAGCTCTCAGCTCCTGCCTTGAGGAACATCTTTCAGACATTTAGACTTACAAATGCAGTCACTGTAGTAGTACGCATAAAACGATAGCAGGTTTTGTTTGAACGGCTGGCCTGAGGTGAGACCTGTGGCATTGGCTTAGTAGCCTTCCTCGGTGATTACCTCTTTGTGCTATTACTCGCAGATTGGCTGCTGAAAGGAGTGAGCAGAATGGCTGAGGATTAATGCTCGGCTTTCAGTTATGGTAATAAATGGTTCGAATACCAATGTTGCGAAAAAAGTTCTTACCAAGTGTTAATTCCCCTTTGACCCGGAAGGATTAACGGTTATCGAAACGAACAAACTGGTTGACTGTTAATTCCCATGAGCAAGGAATTCACCTTCCTCTGTCAGACAAAAAGAGGATTGCAAATCAACTCATCGACCTGCGAATCATAGGGCCAGCATGAGGTTTTGGTGAGTCATAGCGGGGCGTGCAAGATTTATCGTGAGGTCTTTTGATGAAAGAGGCTTTCGTTCGAAACTGTTCGAAAGCAAAGGAACTGGATTTTTTACTGTTCGGCAGCATTACGGTTTCGTACACAACTGTTTGACCTTAAATTGCGCACACGACGCTTCCATGATATCCTATGCTAGCTGGAAATGAGAGATTGGATGACTGCTGGCTGATTCGATCAGTTGGATGTCGGCAGTTCTGCGAAACTACATGCTCACAAAACCTGAAGATAGGAGCCTTAAGTTTTCAAAAACATTCCAAAGGTTTTACAAGGGCGCTCCGACGCGAGACTCGTTCTCAGCGGCGTTACTGTAGGTAATACCTCAGTACTCTCTGTGTTTTGCAAAGTGGCAAGCAGATTCACTGTGCCACAGTAGGAACGAGTTACGCACTATTCTTCCTTAAGCTTCTGATCTTGGACATTTCATGCCCAGACAGTTTGCTTCGACCTCGTCATGTAGGTCGAGCGGTGGGTTGTTTTTGTTGCTCTCTCTCAAAGTTTTTTTTCAAGGACTAGATTACCACTAGAACTGCTGTTGTAGCGTTTTCAGCAGCCGGTCAAGCTTGAGCCAGGAGTTAGGATGAAAGGATCGAGGTGTTCATTTTGAATTACAAGAAATTGAACGTTAAACGTGACTCGGTGGCAGATTGATTTTAATTGCACATCGATTCAGCAGTTAAGTATTCCAGCACTGAAGAAGAAAATCAACAATGTCAACGGTTTCTGTGTCAATCAACTAGTCACAATTATCTCTACAAATAAATTCGTTAAAACTGACAAACGACAGCAACAATGGCACCCATTTCATCACGCGGGCGCATGGTTCATCAATATTCATCCTACAAGCCTAAAGCTTAAGGCTTTCTGGTCATTCCTCTTCTGGAGATCACATTTTCTGTCTAACTGGTACTGGTTGAGTCTGGCAGTGGTCCTCCTGGATCAGACTGACAAAGTTTAGCCTGATTCAGGTTTTGCTTTTGCTTGCTCGGTCCCCAATTTCTTGTCTGATTTCTTGTTGTTTTGTGGAGGAACGTAAAACAGCCATGCCAGCAGTATGACTATCATTGTCGCAGACTTCAGACCTTCAGCTAAAAAACAACTATGCACTATATAAGGTGTTACAAATATTTTGAGTAATTACTGGAAAAAAAGTTAAGTTAATAATTAAATAATTAAGCATTTTGAAATACATGAGTTGCCAGACATGCAGTGTAAAGCATTTCCATCTACATCAGGGTACTTTATTATCTTTAGCGACAAGTCGTCCCCATAAACGGAACGACTCGGTTCACGTTCTGCATAGATCATTCAGAAAAGCCTTGATATATGGCTCATAACTTTTCTATCTGGGTGACAAATTGAGTCAATACCTGTTGGGATACAAACGTATAATTCAAGTGTTTCCTATGGTCTGAGATTTCTACTCAGA